AGAGAGAGAGAGAAATTAAATTTTAATTATTATTTAAATACAGAATTTATAAAAAGCAAACATCTCTTGGAAACAATGATGATTCGCCCAATTCTTGGTATACCGGGTATTATAGAAACGGATATTTCCCCTGACTTTATGTCATTTAAAAATTATTTTTATTATTATAACTTATAATTTATAAGTAATTAAATAAAAATTACTTTAAATATTTTTACTGGAATTTCTATCATAATTATAGTTAGCGTTTGATTTGATACGAAAACTATAAACTATTTGATAACATGGTTTGTTTAATGTTTAACTTAAATATCAATTTGTAAAACATGTCTTTTTTGTTATCGAAACAAAAATTTAATGTCAAATATTTGATAAAATATAAATAAATAAATTTTACATTACTTTATCTATAGATTAATTATTTATATAAAAATATTTTAAAAATCAAAATTATGTTTATGTAAATTAAATTAAACTAGTTTTCTATTTTATAAAATAATTAATTAGAAAATATTTAAAATAAAATAATTGTCAAATAAATGTAATTTAAAACTACTTTTAATGTCCATTAAAGCAAATACTGTATTTTAAACATTTAAAAGACAACCTTGAACATTTTAATCATTATAAAGTTAACTACATTTGTATATTTTTAATTAAAAATCTTATAAGGTAGTTAATAAGATCTTAATATACTGTAACATATTGTTCTAGGTTGAAATAATTTTAATTATTTCATTTAACTATTATTTTAAGCAAAATTTATTATAAAAATAATGTTTAGTTGAGTTCTAAATGTTTATTTTGTTTTTATTAAAATAAAAATTATTAAAATGAAAATATTGTAAAAATTTCGCAATTTTATTAAAAATTCAATATAAAACAGATTCCTTTCACACATTTCTATTCTATAATAAATTATATAATATCTAAAAATTAGTTATTTTTGACAAAAAAGTGATTTATTATCTTTTATATACTCATTCACTGCATATGGCTTTTTCAGGCAATTCAAGGCAATTAATAATACATATCAATCATATCTTGATAACAAATTTTGCAAATTATAATTCAATTCAAATCTAATATTTATTAACTTTTTATAAAACTATTAAATTAAATACCTATTAAACTGATTCAAAACGGATTATGATTACTATCAAAACTGAAAAATTAAATGTTATTAATTATGAACTTCAATGAGCAACAAATATTTAATCTTGATAAAGAACTTAATTTAAATAAGCACATGGTGGGAATGCATATTAAAACGGGAATTGACTGTCAATTGAAGCTAAATAATCACTACTATATAAAAACACAGAGTTTTCAAACCATATTTGTTAGTCTGATTTGATTTGTTGGCACACAATCACCACGTCTTCACAAAACACATACCTCTCTCACTCTCACAGCTAAACGATGGCATCAAATACTGCGGGAAAAGTGATCAAATGTCGGGCACCGGTCTGTTGGGGTCCAAACAAAGGCCAGACAATTGTCGAGATCGAAGTGGATCCGCCCCAACACGAAGAGGTTCGGGTGAAGATCGCGGCCAACGGTGTGTGCCGTAGCGATGCCCACCATTTGGACGGCGACTCGTGTGACGTAAACCTCAAATACCCCCTGATTTTGGGTCACGAGGCGTCCGGAGTGGTCGAGTCGGTCGGTCCGGGAGTGACTTCGGTAGCGCCGGGCGATCACGTGATTCTCCTGTATTGCCCGCAGTGTCTGCCCGGACGCGAGTGCGAGAGGTGTGCGTCGCCGAAGACTAACGCGTGTGTGAACGACAACTTCAACACCACATCCACGATGAGAGACGGCACCTCTCGGTTCAGACACAACGGCCAAACGATATACCATTACTGCGGTATCAGTACATTCAGCGAGTATACTGTGGCCCGGGAGGCACAAGTGGCTAAGGTATGAACTGATAGTTTTGTTGCGACAAGTTTTACGATATGCTAATCGGTTTGTTAGGTCGACCCGAAAGCTCCGTTGGACTTGATTTCGCTGATCGGTTGTTGTCTGGGCCAAGGGTTTGGCGGAGCGCAACATATGGCAGGCGTGACCCCCGGCAGCTCGTGTGCCATTTGGGGTTTGGGTGCCATCGGTTTAGCTACAGGTATTTCATTAGCAATTGATTACTATTTTAAACACAAAACTAATGCAAAACTTGCGATTATAGCCCTGGGCTGTAAGGACGCGGGCGCCAAACGGATCATCGCTATCGACACAAACCCGGATAAGTTTGAATTCGCCAAACAGTTTGGCTGCACTGAATTCCTGAACCCAAAGGATCTCGATATTCCGGTTCAACAGTATTTCCAGAATCAGGGTATGTCTTGAGAAACCCTAAAAACACACCAATAAATAACTCGTTGTAACTATTGTTGTGTTTTGTGGTGACCGGTCAGGCGGTGTTGACTATACGTTTGAGTGCGTGGGCGGCAACCAAATGGTGACGTTGAGGGCGGCGTTTGAGTCGTTGGCCCCGTGGGGCACCTGTATCTTCTCGGGTGTGACCAAAGCGCACGTCGAGCTCTCCATTAAGCCCAACATGTTTCTGGACGGACGCACTATCCGGGGCTCCACTTACGGCGGGCTCAAGAGTCGCACCGGTGTCCAGAAGTTGGTCAACAAGTTCATGGCGGGCGACTTCCCGCTGGAACCGTTTGTCACCGGCCGGTACGCCATCGATGATATACCCAAGTGCTTTGATCTGCTCCGTCAGGGAAAGGCCTGCCGTTCAATCATTATCTATAATTAAAATGTGGCCTAATTTTTGTTATGGTTTTTTAATTGCAGATTTAACCAAAATTTATAATTTTTAATATAATGTTATTATTAATTCAAATAAGTTTTAAATTTTGTTTTTTAAATACATTTCTAATGAGAGGAGAATAGAGTCTCCGAACCGATGGTTACGATAAAAATTGTGCAAAATATCAATAAAAACATTTTTATGGGCGATATGTTTGACTCATTGCATGCGGTCTTCGTTTGTCGGGTCTTTGAGGACAACTTTTCGTCCATTGACTCGCATTTGCTGTGCGAATACACTATAAGTCCAAACGGTTCCCAATCGGTGACAATTTGTTGTCCTTTGACATTCATTTGGCGGTTCGCGAGACAACTGTTCAATGATATGATATCTGTTTTACTATAAATATACACATTATTAAAAATTCAGGGATCAGTTTAGGTGACAATACTTGGTAAAGGCGTTCATATTATGGTCAGTAGAGTTATGATGCAAATGGTGTCCACTTTCTTCAGCCACACGCGTCCTGTCGTACTCTTCTCTACTCTTGGGATCCATCAGAAGCTATGGATTACATCAAACAGTAAGTCCTATTAGAAAATAATTGAGCTATCGATGGACAGCCAAACACTTACTTCATATGCTTTGTTGAGTTCAGTCAATCGGTTGCCAGCATTTGTGTCTTTATTTCTGTCCGGATGTCTAAACTCATAGATAATAAGTGATTAATTGGTGGACACAATACAGTATGTAGTCATCAAAACGTACACAACTCTAACCAATAATCTGAACGATGTCTTAATGTCTGTGAGGGAAGCGTTTCGAGTGATGTTTAATACTTCGTACGGATTTTTACCATCAATTGAATGAATACACAAATCAATTGTCATTACAAATGAAATCAAATTGAATAATAAAAGCATATTTTTATTTAAATTAAAACATCAATAAAAGTAGATTTACATTACATTACAATACGATATGATTTAATGCATACAAAGAATTTAGTGTTAAATTAAATTCAAATTTGTTATCAAAAACGTGACAACAATTGAATTAATTCACAAAATAAGTGACCTGTTATTTAAATTACCTAAAAATACCTATAATTATGTAACCATTAACTAAACAAAAAAAGTAATCAAGGCTTTAAAAACATTACCAAATATAGTCAATAAATTTAATCAAATTATTATTTATTATTAATCTATAATAAACCGAATGATAGTTATCGTGGTATATATATTGTAAATGATTAAATTAAATAATGAAAAACACACCAATTATTCATTATGATGATTGTCTGGAGTGTCCTCGTCATCAAAAAAGCAAATACTTTCGTAGTATTTGATGACGAGTTGCGGACACTCTATGTTGGAAAGAGTGGACGGGAGGACAGTCTTCTCGGCGCTGTTTTGCCACTCAATGAAGTGCCAGATGTCGTAATTGTGGTCAACAGACATACCCGACACTCGTGCGGGCAGTCGACCCGCCGGCCACTCTTCGCGACTCACGTACTCCACCTCTTCAGGCGCCTCATCGGTGACGCCATCACTCGACTCATGGTTTAAGTCGATTGTCGATATATTGATGGTCTCGTCGATGGACTGGTGATCATCGCCGGCACCGACGCTCTCATCGCCCGTGAAATCACTACCAGTGCTGTCACTACTGTCCTCGTCGGTGGTGTCGGAGCTATCGCTGTCCTCTTCATCGGCGACCGTCTCGACGACTTCGTCCGAGTGTTTGGCCTCAAACTCGAGCAGCAAATGATGGCAGCCGTCGGCCAAGTGCTCAATCGGTTCCCACGTGTTCTCCGCGTCGGCATAGAGTTCCCATTTGACCTGATATTCTGTCCGTCCGTTTCGGATCCGTTTGGCCACAAGACGCTCGACAATAAACTCCTCGTCGTAAACCTCCCCATCCTTTGAACTCTTTGCGGACTTTCTTCCAGACATTCAATGATTTTTTGTCGCAATTTTCTCGTAAGAGTAGTTAAGGAAATGTGTGTTCAATCAAAACTGATTGCAAATTAAAGGCAAAAAAACTTTTGTACAGTATTTTAAAAATGTTTGAAAAAGTTGCCAAAGTTTCAAATATCGCTTTATTTGATGCCAAAATGATTTTTGGTTACAATTATTTAAATAAAATTCACAATTTATAATACTTACAGATAATGACAATTAAGTATATACTGTACACTAATCAAGCGATGAAATCCTAAGACAGGATTAAGAGATAACCTTAATCTCTATCTACAGAAATATTTAAAGACAAATCATGTGAACAAGTTTTGTGTATTTGTGTTGATTTGATTGCAACTTTTGAACCATTATTTCTTGTTTAAAGTTTTGCTCAATTATTGGGCAAATTGTCAATCAATTAATATTTAACAATACTTTTAGTTTCAATGCTGTAATTTTAATCATCACATATTAATAAATATAATTTATTTACTAAAATGTCTATTTATAAATAAGTTATTAGTACTGCCATATTTGAATGCATAAACAATATTAAATAATTAGTTTTTTAATTAATTAAGTGTTATTTTTGCCACAATTGTGATATTTAGCGTTAAAACATCTAAAATACATGTCTTTATTAATATTTTAAACTTTTTGTTTTAACATAAGAATATTCTTTAAGCGAAACAATGCTTTTATACTAAAAGCCATTATATTCTACATAATTACTAGTTTTACAAATAGTTTTGTGATTTATATATTAATATATAATATACAAGAATTGGTTAACATTTTTGATCATCTGTTTCGAGGCATTCATTCATATGTTTTTATATCAATTTATTATATTTTAATTGTTAACAAAATTTAAAAATAGTTTTTCATAAATAACTTTCTATCACTTTATTAGCTTTGCGTGAGTTTTGAAATATATAATTACTTTTATATATTTAATTAATAGTTTAGATAAATGTATTCATTAGAAATTATTCTTGTATTTAAAACTTTATATTAAAATAAATAATTTGAAAGCAATATAGCATAGGATTTGTGTATCGAAACTACAATTATTGCATAATTTATATGATTTAACTGCAAGTGGTTTACAATTAGCTTAAATTGATATTTAATTAATCCGTTTTAGTATCAAATTCCTGAGCACTCCTTGACTTAATATTAATGATAATATATATTAAATGCAAACAAATTGTGCTATAAATCAAAAGCTAATTAATTAAATAATGTGTACAACAATTGAGATCAAGAATCGCTAAACAACTAATTAATTGACGGCTTTATTGATAATAACAGACTCTTCAGCAATTAGTTTGAGTACTAATTATTGGTCCAGCGTTTGGGCTCCGAGTCCTCCAAGTCTTCCTCATCGAGTCTGGTGTTGACGTCTGCTGTCTTTGCGGCCAAAAGTACTTTTCCGCCTAAAACTGAATCAATTTTGGACGAAATCACACTCAATGTGTACTCCATTCGGTCGACCCGTTTCGTCAGTTTACTCATATCGGGTCCGCCGCCAAACCGGTGAACACTTCGGGCACTTTCGGGCCGTTTGTTCTCATTGTCGGCCATCTCTTTCTCGATCTCATTCTTCTTGCCCTCTAAGTCGGCGAACATCGCTCTCAACTCCTGTTCGTCGAGCTCTCGGTTCTGATCCAAATCATACTTCGAGAACAACATCTCTATCTCCTGATCACTCAAATCCCTTTCCTTCAACTTCTGTCTGACGGCAGCGAAACTCACGTTTTTGGCGCCGTCCAGACCCGCGCCCTATCAACGCAAACATTCATTAGGAAACAAATGTTTTATAAGTGATCATTGAATGGCAAATACTTTGATGGCCTGTTGTATGCCTTCTATCTGTTCCTTCTGAGCGCCCAATTTGGTCAACAATTGATTGGATATCGACTTAAAATAGTCCATAACCGCAAAGTCTTCGCCATCTACGCCGATCTCTGCCTTCACCTCCGCATACGTGTCGTTAATGATCGCCAAAAACATGTTCTTCGGGTCACCAAATGGTAACATATCGTTAGATTTGATCATGATTTATAACTAATTAAAACATACCATTAGAACGAAGAACACGAAGAATATATAGCTGAGGAAGAATATGGGGCCCAATACACGATTCGCCGCTTCCAACGCCTGGAAGTCAAAGTCACCCAAAATGAGCCGCAAAAGTGTGAATCTGTGGCCGAAGAAGATATCAAATTAAAATATATTATACAGTATATCAACATTTGTTTAAAATAATTCATAAAATCAATTCATACACAGCTTTGCCGAAACTGCTATAGTCTTTGACTTGAGTGCCAAACAATAGATAACCCAATTGTGCGAAAGCGAAGAATACAATGAAAAACATGACACCAAAACCGGCGATGTCTTTAGCGCACTGTTTGACAGATAATACACACAATTATTATTATCATAAATGAAACAAATTATAAGTAAATTAATAAATTGTTTGCAAAAAACAGACAAAAATGATGGACAACTCACTCGACTCAAAGTGGAGCTGAGCTGAGACATGGTCTTATTGAAGCTGATATATTTGAACAATTTGACCCAGGCCACAAACGACAGCACAGCCAGTATATTACTGAACTGCGCCGACCAGAAGCCAAGTGTGTCGAACTGGTAGGTCTCGATCTGGAGGGCCAACGACGAGCTGTTCTGCAGACTATCCGCAGAGCCCTCATCGCCGGCGCCGCCGCCGGTGTTTGAATCGCCGCCCGTAGTGTACGCCTCGTCGAAGATCTTATTGATGACATACTTGCGATAGAAGAGGAAGAATACCAACAAAACCGATATAATGATAGTGAAAATGTCGAGAAAATTCCAGCCCGAGCTGCGAAAGTAGGGCCAAACTCCCAGTGTCTTAATCTCGACCAACTCTTCGATGATATAATAGGCGATGAATAGTATAAATAGCGTAAAGCATACGTAGAGAGCGATCGGCGCGTCCGACGAGTTCTCCAAGAGGTTAAGTGTGCGGAACTGCCACGAAGTGATGAGACCACCGGTGGCCGGAAACTCGGCTATCAATTTGGTCACCACATAGAGGTTGATGTTGGGGTTGTAAGTCGTAAAGTCGATGAATATGGCTCGCGTTCCCCTATCGATCCACAGATTCTTCTTCAGGTCCCTGATCTTTGCCAAAGCGATTGTCTTGTTTAGCGTCAGGTCCACGATATAACCGCCCTCTCCTGAATACGTGCCCAAAATGCCTGCAAAATGCGACGTTTAATTGTAATTAAGTGATTGTGGTTTTTATTTTAGCCCATAATAATGATGATCAAAATAAAATACAGACCCCAGACATCATTCTTGGCGAACGACTTGATCTCTCGCCACTCAAAACTGGTGTCATTCTTGGCGTTACCGCCGCCGCCGCTCGATGTCTGCCTGTCCTCATAGGGCTGGGCGTAAAAGTTATAGCACGAGAAGATAGCCCTCTGGAAGTCCTTATGGACTTCGCACGAGTCGTTGCGGACCTTCAATTGTCTCATACGCGGCGAACCCAACAAATAGTTTTCATAAAGTACTGAATTCTTGGTGATTATGGAGTCGTTGTTATACCAACGGTCCCAATACAGGCCTTGCATAAGCGGGCCCTCCGCGAACTGATCAATGATCATGCACATATTATAATGTTTGTAAGTATTACTTTACATTATATTACAGTATTATAGAATTAATTAATCGTAAAATCAATTATTTATAATTTATATTTAATTTATTCAATAATCAATATCTCACACACAATGGCCTATACTATTAATGATAGTCTAAAAGGGTATCATAATATGATTATATTATAATCCTTACAATGAATTTTATCACTATTTGAAATGCAAATATTTTTTTTCAATGGGTTTTTATTGAACTTATATTTCAGTGCAAAATTTTTTTATTGAAAATAATGTTAACATTTTATAATTATATTAGTTTTCTAAAGCAATTGACAACTTATATAATGTATTAATGAGTTATTAAAGAAATATTGGACTCACTTTCCAGAAGTCGTCCATTTGTGAGGCAGTCCTGAACGTAACGCCACTGCTGTCAGCCCTGTCGAGGAAGAGATCGCTCATGATCTTTGTCTGATAATACATCGTTGGGTTCATCATTGAAAAGGTTACTGAAAAAAATGTAATACATTCATTTGATAGGTATCGCAACTTTAAATCAAATCAAAATCTAACCTAATATTTAATATATAAAATCTTATAACGTATATAATTTACAATCTAGTTTATTTTAATAATGCATTTATAAATTATAATTAAAACATTTCAACACATTTTTGTTATTAGAAAACAGAATATTCTTACTGTAAGTAATTGTTGTTAAAAACGCGATATAAACCAAGAGTTCCCGAAGTGTTGTCTTAATAATACTTCCCTTATCGGCATCTTTCGGGAGGATTTGTTTTGTTAACCAAAACACTAATAAAAAAATAATTTAATTAAATTTACATTTTAAGGTTTTTATCATTTTTACTCAATTAATACCTCCAAAAGTCTTTTGGAAACGATTCCAGAAGTTGTTGCCATCGATCATATCATCGGATGTCACCGAATAGACTTCGGGATCAAATTTTTGTTTGCTTGGTTTGATAGACAGGGAGTTACTGTCGGAGCCGACAGACCAGATAGGGTTACTCATGGCGTTAATTAGGGTTAGTTTTAAAATACAAAATAATTATTAAATAAAAACTTAAGTTTAAATTCTTGATATCTATTTAAATATCACTGAAAACCAGAATATTCTCTATGAAAAACTTAAAATAACACAACTATTTCTCTAATAATTAGTGAGATCTCTATTAGCCGACTGATAGCCCAGTACTGATCCCAACGCCTGTCCTATCTATGGCCTATAGGTTTGTGTCCGCACAACAAATCTCTGTCTCTCTAAACGCATGGATGAGCCGTTGTTTAAGCTTTTTGTATGCCTTTCTCTGTCGTAATATTTATTTTGAATATTAATGAAAACACATTAACTGTTATATTAATTATTTGTGTGTTTGATGTTTATAACAAATATTTGCCCAAAACAATAGGTGCCCGAGAGTTGCGTTGCCCGGAGTGATGGGCACAAGTAGTTAATTATTTACGAGAAATGCATAAATTTACCAAAACTTTTTGCTGTATTTGTTTAGCCATTCGTTTCGAGTAAATGATAGTTTTTATCTCAAATAAAAATACATAATTTAGACCACATTTGACGCAATGATTTCGTTTGTGACTTATTTTTGGTCTCAAAAATTGAATGATATATTTGTTTGTCGACGACATTGAAAGTCATTGTCGATAGTCTTTGTTTTAGTCCCGCAAAAGAGTATTGATTTTGTGTTTATTTTTGGGTAAATAATAGCATTGAATTAAAGTATATTGTAATATTTTATTGATAATTCTAGATTTTGTGTTATAATAATTGATATATAGGTTTAAAATCATTTAGAATAATATTTGTTGATTATTAAATCCTAAGAATTATTTATTCACAATTATGGTAATTTATAATTGTGCAAGTACAATATTACTATATTATAAATAAACACAAAGCTTCTAAATTTTTATAACTTATCATTTAAAAAATCAGAACTTTAAATTTACTTTTTATTAAAATCTCAATATATTAATGAACAAAATGGGCAATTAGATGAACAATTAATGCTATTAACATTAATTAACAAACTTTAAGATTTTAACTATTTTTGAAAATAAAATAAACATTTTGAGTAAAAAGTTTTAAAATTACTTTTAATTATTAATGTTTAAAAATCACGTTTATTGCGTCAATAATTTATGTTTAATTTTCAATGCTTATTAAAATTATTACAAAAGTTTTAAATAATATAAATGTTGTATAAAATAATTAATTAACAAGATACAAAAAGTATTTACAATTTTTAAAAATATCAAAACAATAAGAAAACTAATTTTAGTTTTAATTGAGTGATAAATCAACTAAAAATTGAATCAAACATTTGGGTAAATGTGGGAAAACTATATTAAAATTGTCAAAATTAATTGGTTTACACGTTTGTGTTAAATATATGGCACGTATTGTAAGTCTTGATAATTGTTTTAATTTCAACACTTTATGACTTTTCACTTTATTATGTTTTAAAATGAAGTTTTTATCACAATTTTCAAACATTTTAATCAATATTTCATTATTAGTTTTGTTTAGAAAACTCATAATCTCTTCATTGACTGTCAAACCAATGTTTAGCAAAGTTTTAAAACATTCAATCCGTCCGTCATTTAAATATTTTGCCGACAAATACAACGGATTTGAATCGCATTTCATATAACTCTTTGCGAGTCTACAAAAAGTGTTGTGTTTGACTATTAGTCTTACGAAATGTGGTCTCCGTTCCCGAACGGCCAGCCATACGGCGCTCTGACCAAAGAAATCTGTCCAATTCACGTCTATATCGGGACTATTAAGCAAAATGTTTACCATTTCAACATTCCCTACCATTATATGATGACAATTACAAGATGTATATTAACTAAAACCTGTATTAAAACACAAAATATACAGAATATTCTTATACCCATTCGTACGGCAGAGCAAAGCGGTGTCTCAACTCTGCCCACACTATCGGTGGACAATCGGTTGGGATCGGAGCCGGCCTTCAATAAGAGTAGCGCACAGTTAGCCAACCGGTGATATACGGCGAGACTCAGTGGCGTTGACTTTCCGATAAACGTTATGTAATTCAAGTCGACGTGATTTGCGCTCAACATATCATTAATAGACTTTAAATTGTTGTCAATTATAGCGAATTGTAAGTCAAATACAAGCGATTTCTTCGGCAAATTAGCCATTTTTTGTTGCGTTAAAAGTAATGTATAAATAGATGGTGTCTTTGAGAGCATATAATGATAATTGGCTGAATTGTATGGTTTAAGGGTGTAGTCCCAGTGTTAGGGTATAAGAGCTTTATGTTTGGTTTACTCTCTATTTATAGATTTATTTTATTATATAACTCACAAACCAGTGCTTGAAATGTGAGCCACAAATGTATAGCAAAAGTATGTTTTAAAAACTTTTTTAATTTAATGAAATGAATAATAATTACAATGAAAATCGATATTTGCATCAAATGTTTAAACAAATTGAATATTTTTCACAATAATTTTCAATTGTTAATCGATTGATAAAATAGCAATAAATTTGTTTGATTTGATATTTTCTCTGCAAAAAAGTGTTTTTTATAACTAATTAACAAATATTAATAATAGACACAAAAAATGAGATTTAGATTTAGAAAAATTAATTTATATTGAAATGTGTTTCAAAGCAAGAATTAATGTAATTAACAGCAAAAGTAAAACAATAATTACAAAGTATTTTTGGAAAAGCCCTCATTTGGTTGTCTATTAAAATTTTTGGTACAAATAAGTTAATGTCAGCACAAAAATGATTATTAAATGGTAAAAACTTGTCGATTCCTATCTTTAAGATTCTGTTATTTAAATTTTCTGTCAAAAAACATTTTATATAATAATTATCGTAATATTCATAAAATTTTCTCTACAATTCTTGCGTAAAGAGTGGTGTCTTTGAGTGGAAAAAACAATTGCCTTTAATTTTCTTAAACACACTTTTCATATCCTAAACCGTTATTAACATTATTTCGCTTTTTTGTTCACAAATACTGAGAAATTTGATAGAAATTTAAAATCAATAGTTATTTACAATTTATAACATAAATTGCTATTTAAAAATGTCAAACCATTTGCGATAGAGATTTACAATTAATCAATGATTACTTCACAAACAAATGGTTTGTTTTGTTCGCCAGATTCTCATAAATAAAAACAATTAATTAATAATTATATTTGTGGTAATAATTAAAAATTAAACTCTAATTTCTTGACAATAATAAATTAAATATAGCTTTCAATTGGAAAATAAAAAACACTTTATAATTAATTTAATTAAAAAATAAATCTTTCTAATCATAAAAATTAAATTATATATTAAATAATAGCCTAATCTGTGGTTGAGATTCACACAAATTCATTAGTGCCGGGACTCGTCAGCGGTTCCAGACTTGACGGATAGGAGGACAGCGAGTCGTCGCTCTTCTCCAGCGCGAACTGGTCTTCAGTTGTCTTACGATAGACTGGATTATCGAAATTCATTGATGTTATGTTACGCCTGTTGTGACCGGGAATTAAACAATAATCACATTTCAATTATCATTATCTATACCAAAACAATCAATCAATTCAAAGACACTTACCGTTGATATTTGCGGTAAATAAATAGTGTAATCGTCGAGATAAACATCAAAATGCATAACAATATAACAGTGATAATTATGGCCAACTTTCCGTCCGACTCCTGACCGGCGGTGTTGTCATCGATGGTATGTGTCTTGTTTTCGCGGTAGTGTTTGATCTTATTCTTGTTGTGAGACTTCATTAACTCGATCTCTTCGATAGACTCTGTCATCTCTTCGGTCGCCGATTTGGTCGGCTGTGGCTCCAGAATCGGCGCCAATGAGTGGCCGCCGGCGGACGTTGTCCTCGTGTCCGACGGCTCGGCGGTCGTCGTCTTAACGGTCGACACACACGTGAAGTTGTCTATCAATTTGGTGTCCGCCGGACACACGCATCGGTACGAGTGGACACCCGTTGGCAAACATAGATGAGAGCACCGGTGATCGGCGCACCGGTCGGGCGAATGTGGCTTCTTGTATGAGTGGACAACACAGATATCCATTACGGAAAAGACACCGCCGACTAGAGACTCCACTTTGTTATCATCTTTACCTACAAAATTATCATAAAGTTAGTCCCGTTTTCTGACTTTTCAAACACTAGGGATTCAAAGTAATTACCGAATTTATTTGTGGCCAAAACCGACTCCAACTCCCAATCGGTCCAATAGACAGTGTCCTCGAAGATGTCCAAAGAGAAGGGGTGTTTGATATAATCGGGAGAGTGGAGTACGAGTCGCCGATTGGTTCCGTCGTAATCGATGGCGTTTATAGAGTTCAACTTCGCGTCCAACCAATAGATCTGTTTAGTGATCAAATCGATGGTCACGCCGTTCGGCCACACGATGTTCGTGTCGACAAGTACTAGGCGTCCGCTGCCGTCCTGTTGGGCCCTCTCGATCTTCGGCGCCGAACCCCAATCGGTCCAAACAATCCACGACTCCATCACATTCACGGCTATACCTCTGGGCTCTTCCAGTTTATCGCTGACAATTACTGCCCGCGACTCCGGATTCGATATATTGGCCACTTCTATGTGATCTCTGGACGTGTCCGACCAGTACACCAGCCGATGGATCCAATCGACCGCCAGCGCGTCCACAACGCCCTTATTGTGGATCAACTCCTTCTGCTCTGTCAGACCGTTGTATGTCTTATGGCTTGTATTATAGGGAGCGATGAAGATCTTCTCGTTCGCCACATCACTCCATATGAGATAATTATCGCGAATACTGTAATCGATGCCAATGGTTGAGGACAGGTGTGAGTATAGGGGCTGATAGTGTTGGTGTTTGTGGCGCTGAGAGATGTCTAGAGTGCGGATGTCGTGCCGATTGGCGAACATCAGCAGCGGTTTCTCTTCGCCGCGTATTTTGCAGTACCGATGGTCGCGGATCTCATAGCCATCGAAGCACTCGCACTTGTAGTGTCCCTTAACGTTGAGACATATGTGTCCGGAGCACAGGCCGTACTGTTCGGCGCATCTGTCAAAACAAAATCATCAAATTAAATGACCAAACAGTTTGGGTGACAATCACTCCCAATGACAACATACTCGTCGATATCGTCGCACGTCTTGTTATCGGCGGCCAATCGAAAGCCTTTCCTGCAGTCGCAGTGATAGCCGGAGAGGTCGTCGACGCAGACCTGCGAGCAGTGGTGACTCCCGTCGACGCACTCATTGACAGAGCAATCGCGCGGTTCGTCAGACCAGTCGCCGCAGTCGTTCATACCGTCGCACAGTTTGCCGACGGGAATGCATTTGGCGGGCGTCGAGTCCGCGCACTCGTGCTCTACAGCCGTACACAGAGTCGTGTTGGGCGTCGCCTGTAATGATATGGACACCAGTTATGGTAATAATTACATAGACATTATCGTCGCTTTCATACCGATTCGTCCACCTTTTCGGGACAGTTGTGTTCGTCGGATCCGTCGACGCACTCGGCTTTTCCGTTGCATTTCATGTTTCCGGGAATACAATTGCCGTTTTTGCACCCGAATTGGTCCCTATGGCACGTGTAGTTGCAGTTCACTTCGTCCGACCCGTCCGTACAATCTTTACTTCGGTCGCACCTGTGGTCGCAAAACAAGTCGATTAGAGATATGTCTATTTAATTGACCAAAATGCTTGAAAGGCATACCTCCACAGAGTGCTGATACACTCGTGTCCGTTTGCGCACAGGAACTCCGACGGCCCGCACACCGACTCGACGTCTTTGGTGACGACCGGACAGCCGGTCTCGTCGTCGCCTTCGGGACAGTCTCGGTCTCCGTCGCACTTCCATCGGTCGGGAATGCATTTGCCGGACAAACACGTGAACATTCCCGGAGTGCACGTCTTGTTGGAACAGATATGCGACGACTCATCGGATCCGTCGCCGCAATCGTTCTCTCCGTCGCAAATCCATCGGTTTATCAGACATTTTCCGTTATCACACGTGAACTCGTGTTGAAGACAAGACGCTAATTCGGTTTCTACGGATCAGATCAATGGTTAGACAAAAGAGTTAGTGTTGTTTTTTTTTTGAAATAATTTGTATTGTATGACTGACTGCATTGTTTCTCATCTGATCCATCGGTACAGTCCTCCATATCATCGCAAACCCATTCATTTGGTATGCAATTACTGGTCGAAACGCATTTGAAGTGATTCTCAGCGCACGTGTGGTTCGCTATGAAAGACAAAAAGTAAACATTAGTTTTCATTCATCATTAAATTGTAAAATCAATTTTACCGCAATTCAATTCATCGCTTCTGTCGCCGCAATCGTCTTCATTATCACAAATCCATCTAAAAATATAATAATTTATTTAAAAATAGTGTCAAAATTTTTAATAAAACTATTTAACTGTCAATTTGTATAAAAATTAAAATTGATTTGAGTTTTAGATAATAAAAAATTAAATAAAAACATAATAAATTATAATTTAATAAAAGTGTTACAAATATTTGCTTTTTAATGAAATATAAAACAAATAATGATATATTTAGTAATTAATAACTGGTTTAAATGACACGATAATTGATTAATTAGTTAATCAATCAAATCAAACAAACAAAAAACAACTCCTGAAAGCGTATAATTGATTTAGATATGCAATAGTGTTTAAAAAATATAATAAAATTAAAAATGTAAATTTGCAACATTAAAAATGAACATGATCAGATCATACTTATGGGGCAAACATTTTCCATTTTGACACTTGAATTCATTTTCGATACAACTTTTGACGACTAAACGAATGAAATATAAGATTATAATTAATAAATTTCTTCAAAAATCTGTAAATAACTTAATATAAGTATAAGAAAAGTCTGAAAAACTTTTGAGAGCATAAGAGATAATAAATTACATTAATTATTCAGTAAAAAATAAATGCAAACAATTTAACTGATGGTAACAATGACTTGATTTAATACATGTGTGTTATCTCTCGTTAAACAAAATATGTTATCAAAAAGTGTTGATCTCTTTCAAGAAAGACAACTCTTTAAGACATAACAAAACATAAGAAAATTTAATGTTAAGATATTATGTAAATTTAAGCTAAATATCAGAGTATGTATTGATGTCAAGTGCAGCGCCGGTACATGTCTTACTTGTTAGATATAATCAAATTATATGTAAATATAGCATTGATTTAGTAATCTTATACTTAATTGACAGCACAAGTAAACAAATAGCAAAAAAGGCTTAAATTGAAATTTTTTTCCTTTTTAATTATATTCAATCTATTGATCGTTTTGTCTGATTCTCATACCTGTCAACAGTTTAATAGTATTTTAAATGTACCGATAATTGAAGTTTTCAATGATATTGTCGGCAAATTATATATCATTTATAACTAAAACAAAACTTTATTCAATTTAAAGAACAAGAATTTTGTGGAGTTTAGTGTTGGAAACTATAGTGAAGTTTGTATTTGTGTAACACATGATAACTCTGTGACACAAATAATAATTTGATTTACATTCAGATATACTTTTAAATTTTTAAACCAAATAAATCAATCATTCAATGCATAATTATTTCAGATAGTGAGTGAGTGAGTGAGAGAGAGAGAGAGAGAGAGAGAGAGAGAGAGCAATCATAACCGCATTCTTACAAAACAAATGCTTTCTTTCTCTTTCGTCAGATAATAAATTTATTGTAAATGTTATGCTATTTATAACTTATGGCGTGATTTCGTTGGCATATAAATAGCTATTTAACAATTGTCTCGAATTAGGAGACAATTATATAATTTACGAAACAGGAAAATACGGTCATTTGGCAGACACTGTGTTATACTAACAATTATTTGCCAAAACAAAACGGATAATCCTTTAATACCAATAGATATCCGATTCCTATATATTCAATATACGGTACACTTTATATAAAATTCTGACATTTATTCTAACTTAAATGCACTGTTCGTGTGGCTAAACAACATGTGCTAAACAGACAGCTATTAATTTCAATATAGCTTTTATTAAAAAAGTCAATCATATGTCTAAATATTTGGTTTTTTAGACATAAATAAATGTCATAAATCTTTATCTCAATTGTATTCAGCGATACAATGATATGTGAAATGAAAGACCAGTTTATTATGACATGAAAATATAAATGAAAAATATTTGTCCACAAAAATAAAACTCAAAAACAATTTTCTATATTCTTTGGTAAATATATAATAAAAGTCAACAAAAATAAAACAATTTTTAAATGTATATAAAAAAGCTTTAATCAATATTTTTTGCGATAAATATTTTTCTGGATGTGAATCAACAAAAATTTCTTATCAGTCATTAAAATTGAATTTCAAAGTCTATGTATTGATTAAATTTTAACTTATATTTCACTTATATCTTTGTTATTAAAATTTTATTGTAATTAATTGATATAAAACTAATTTTAATTAATGTTAAAATAAGTAGATTATGTAATATTTCATATTTCAAGTTAACTACCGTAATATATAAATAGACGTTTCCCTATAATTCATGTAATATTAAACAATAGGAATTCAGACATATTTTTTTTAAATGTAAAACGAGATACCAAGTGATCCTAAAATAAATTAATTATAAAAATCAAAAATCATATGAAAAGTGGTTTTAAATTTCAACTGTTGTCTCATAAGATTACATGAGAAGATCACTTCAATGTCAACGATAGTAAAGACTCAAGACATTCCCATTAATATCTTCTCAATAAGTAATGACAGCAATAACTTTGAGCACTCATTTCATCGCAACTTTCATCCACTCTTATCCACACAATTCGGGCACAAATAAAATCACTTTCAGATAAAAGGCTTAAAACATAATTAGATATACAAGTTATGGAGAGAGAGAGAGAGAGAGAGAGAGAGAGAGACTAAAGGGACTCCTTATTTTAATATACCATAAATAACGAGCTAAATGACGTTATTAATGTTCTAGTTAATTATTACAGGAAAATACTTTCGTATATTTTGATTCGTAATTAATAACCAATAAATGTGTTTATTATTAGCCATTAAACCAAATGTCAGTCACGCATATATAACGAGTTTATTAAATATTATTGCCTAATCTAGCCCTGGGGAAAGTCTTCAAACACTATACAGATTGACTGAATGTAAAACCCGTCACAAAAATAATCACTATACCGTACATATACAAAGGAAAATCGGCAAATAGGCCCCAGTTGGAATTCGGGTTTCGATCATATAACATGAATGTACATGGAATAATAAGTCCCATGGTATAGTCCATATAGCGGAGCCACCTCGGGTTCGGCCGCAGTCACCACTTTTATCGGAAAAATTCAACTTATCCAATACTAACATTTGATATATGAAATCGATGTAGAATTTAATGTAGAACTATAATATCGCCATATCACACCGGTGGGGTCAACAGATTTTATGTTATTTACTTAAAACGGTTGAATTTTAGATATAATTAGTAAAATAACCTATTATCCTCAACCCCTACTATCTACGCAAACACCAAACACACCCCAGGCCACCTTTAGCACTCTTGACCCATTAGTCAACATCACTAAGCGCGGACCAAAAATAAATTGAAATTACATAATATCTATGTACTCTATCAAAATATTATTACGATATTCGAATTCTACGTTAAATTCTACATTGATTTCATATATAATATGTTAGTATTGGATAAGTAAAATTCTTGCTAAAAGTGGTCACTGCAGCTGAACCCGAAGTCGAATGGTCATATGGAAAAGACTAATTTACTCCAAATTTGACGTAGTTCAATGTCATACAACAAATCGCTCTTAATTTGTAAAAATATTCATTTCTAGTATAAATAATAATAATGTCTGAAATGGTGATTATTTTTGTGACGATTTTACATTCAGTCAATCTGTATAGTGTTTA